CATACACTCGGTATCCATACAGCACGCATGTCTAAAAGACATTTTTAGGACACCTTTAAGTCGTCTTTTAGACATACATATCTAAAAATGACTTAAAGACGTCTTAAAGATGTCTTTTAGACACGCATGCTGTATGGATAGCTTATTGTCAAGACGCGAGCAATAAGCATGGACAGTGGAACACGAAAATCGGGCGGAAAGTTGCACGTAAATTCGACTGCTCGAGCCTCGTTCTTGTTTTACCGATACAAAAATTACAATTCTATGAATGTGACTATGAATAAGACTAGGTAGTACAATACGATATGCCGGTATAAATAACGGTGTCCGGTTTGTCAACGGTAAACGCGCTCATAGGTCAAAAGCATCCACTTCGATGCATCATTCAATCCCGCGGTTTTTATTCGTATTCATGCAGCTCTATTCGTTTGTCAAATCCTATCGACATGCGCGACATTTACAAACACTTGAATATCTCCTCCAAGGAGATCTAAGAGATTATTTGCAGCATTTCTTGTATCGCATTTCGCGCACATTAACGCGCGAATGATCTTTCATGCGTATTCATCATCGTACGATTTAATATGCAACGCGATCAGTTCGATGCTATCGTTAACAGTAATTACGTAAGCGAATGTTAATGAAAAGTATTATTCTAAGATCCGGTTTTTCATTTTCTGGTTAACTGTTAACCAGAGGTTAATCGACTCTCAGTGCAAATCAGTGGCTATTTACTGTTTCCAGTGATAATCCACTGACTGACTTTTGAAGAGTATAGAAAACAATTCTTTATACTAGCCGATTAGATAAAAATGAGAATGAAACATTTAACCCTCGCTCACTTGCGAGAGATAACCAGAGGTTAATCGACTCTCCACCTTTTTCTGTAGAGAAAAGTCCCTTATTATTAGATAGCCTCCTAATATGAGATAGCGGAGTTTCTGGTCAATAGATAATGCCTATTCCACCGTGGATTTATTGGATGGATCGTTAAGAAAAAAGAGTGAAATTAAATGCGGAATCCCGCTATCTCATATTAGCAGTCATTAGGTTTGTTTCCCGTTCCTGCCTGGTAAACTACTGCGGTAAGCTGGAATGAGAAAAAATATGCTTGTCTTACTCTAATTTATTGCACTAGTTCACCAGTTTAGGAACAGAAAACAAACCTTGTCTCATAGAGGGCTTTTCTCTAATGCTTTGCGGTTGCCCATAATTCTCTCAAAGCTGTAAATCTACACGCGATTGTAGCCGTCAAACTATATTACTCAGATCTACATAAAATAATTTTAAAGAGTAGAGAGATATTTATAAATATCTCACTACTCTGTAAAAATAATCAGTGAATTAGCACTGAAAACAATGAATAGCCACTGATTTAGTACACTACTGCGATGTTCAGTGGTATACTTATAACTGCAAATCAGTGGCTCTTCACTGTTTCCAGTGATAATCCACTGACTGACTTTTGAAGAGTATAGAAAACAATTCTTTATATACTAGCCGATTAGATAAAAATGAGAATGAAACATTTAACCCCCGCTCACTTGCGAGAGATAATTTGGCTCGCGAAGTATTAGAAGAACGAAACGATGCCTCGGGCAGCATCTTTGTGGTCCACGCAGCCTAGTAAGAAAAGAATGATCGCGCATGCAATTGTCGGGACAGGTCATTCCGTATTGTTTGCAAGACGTGCAGCCGGGCCGTTATCTATTCTGGCATTTCGGTATTTTTGTCTCAACCGTGGAAAGCGAAATGCCGCCTGGATGCTGGTCGGAGCCCCGGGGTGGTCATCGTTTCTCCTTGATCTTTCCGCGCCACGGACGCGCGCAACGATCGCGCGGCGTAGAATCGCGGGAGCGGTTCCGACACGTGATGTCAGAGCTCTCGTCCGTATCGGTATCTCTGCGGCCAGGCGCGAGAGATACGGCGAACAAAGCGATGCTGTTCCCTATCGGCTAAGCTGCGTATATCGGATACGCTGACGTTCACACGGCACTCGCGCTGACTCCCTAACATTTTGCGCACATCATCTGATAACCCTTTCCGCGGCTGTTTTATCTCCCTCTCCTCTAGTGGCGGATGGTCCCCGGATGTGACGCCGCGACACGAGAATTGAGAAATCCGAAATAAACGCCCGCGTATATCAGCCGCGGAGGAGCGTGACTCCTCTTCTTTTTCGGCCCCAAGATCAAGCGGCTGGCCGTATTGTAAACATTGCGCGAATCTTCACACGGATGCACGTGCTTATCTCGGCGAGATTCGCGGCGTACGCATAGCGGGCGAAATCTCAAGATTCGCCGACTGCTTATTCGCCGATTATTCAAATGCAACGCGCCGAAGACGGCATTTAATGCGCCGATATTTCACTGTTGCGCGGAGAAAATAACGAAAAAATGAACTTGACGAACGATCCCTCTACATTTGTTTCCCTCTTAAATTGGAACAATCGTCGTTATTGTTACTTTTCTCGTAGATTCACATCTCGGAGAAGATATTCAAGTGTTCGCTTCATATATTAATTTTTTTTTTCTAAATAATACAAAAGTAAACTCGCCGAGTGTATTACATAAACGTTCATAGGCCAACATGACGAGCCACAATTAGGATTAAATTAAAGTGTTGCAGTATCAAATCATTAAAAAAAAAAGACAAATTAAGTATCGTATTATTAAATGATTTAACAAAGGTCAAAAGTGAAAGGTTAATTTTTTACGTTCAATTTGTATAAAACTTTGTATTGAATAGTTCGTCTTGGAAAGAACTTATCTCGTGTAAACGATAAATTTTCTGAAATGATTAAACGACGAGATTCCCCCCCTTGGGGGAGGGGGGAGGGTCATCGCGGGCTTTTTCATACGTCATTCCGCGATTTTTGCAGCGGATAATTCCCCGAGGATTACAGAGATCGAAACGTTATTTCAACAAGCAATGTCGCGTGGTCGATCGAAAGATAGCACATGCACGGCGATATCTCTCCTCGCCTCTTGTCGCTCATTCTTTCCTTCAGTCACTGACGTAGAATCGTCCCCGGAGTTTAACTTGGAGCAAATGCCAGAGAGATACGAGGAGGGGTCGTCGTAACGTTACGTAAATTTAATAGACGCACGCATCTGTTTGTTTATCTATTGTCGATTTATCATGGATATCGCGATATCGGCGATATTACGCGGTAGTCCTGAAAAACAGCGTATTTTGCAGCTTCAAGTATTTTGCGACATCACCTCATTTTGCGTAACATCGCGGCATTGAGATGGCACTGAGCCTTCGCTTTCGGATTGCGCGATCGGACATTCGCGCTTTGTCGTTCGCTTCTTGAGCTAGCACACTATGCGCAGTTCGTAATGCATGGTTCGTGATTCGCAGAAATTTGTTGGACATTCGTTATTACTTAACACACTATTCGTCATTCACAGTTTATCGTTCATAATTTGTTATTTGTCGTCTCGTTCGTGTTAACTTGGACAACTTTTAACCTTTACCTGTTATTACAGGACTCGCATCATAAGTCTATAATTAGTCAAGTTGCAATATTAGTAAAAAAAAACCGCTATTGTCGTCAAAACAACTGCTCGGCTAGCGAATCACGAATCGCGCATAGAGTAGCGCTAGCTTACATTCTGCGAATTAAGATTATCCGATAACTAGTCTACGCGCTCGACGCGCTAATAGCGATATCTTACTAAAAAGTCTCTGTTTAGAAAGATCAACAAATGAATAGAAAGCAAATATCTCATTAACGATAGGAATGTTGTTGATCGGGTATGAATCATAAATTGCAGAGTTTTCATAGCAGTTAAGAGCCTCGATAAAAGACCTGACAAGAACAAAAATAATCAAGATTAACGTGTTAAGAGATATGGTTTTTTAATTACGCCCATTAGATAAATTCGGGATAAGGACTCGACCTTGGGAAAATATTAATCTGTTCGTAATATAAATTCGTAATAAAAATCCGTGTGGGAACGTATATATATGTAACATTTCTTAAGCTTTGAATACGATTCTTTGGAAATCTTATCTGTATCCGATATTTTATCAATATACCATATATATTAATCGATATCTCGTAAATATCTTATCAAAGTTGATTTATCTCGCATTGATTCATTGTTCTCCTTTTCCGTTTGATGAGAGATTGCGGATATTTTGATTATCGTGACAAATACGAGTACATACAGGCATTTATATTTTAATTTTGTATATTCTAAATACTAAATATTTAACGTTTAATTAAAACATTTCCTATAAATAAAAATGCCAATGAATACATTTTTATAATGTATCGACATAAAATTTAAAAATATTATAATTTAACTGAAATACTCAAAGCGACGTTTCTTATAAATAAATATCAATGTATAAATCTGCCTGTTCACGTGCAAATTACACGGATGTGTGTTTTTAACAATGATATTAATTGCCTTTATTGAATGATATAAATCCTTGGTATGTTTAATCGAATAATTTTTATTTAAAGGAACTGTTTCTATAAAATTGTGGCGGTAACGTCGTAACAGGAATTTATTGCACTTTGTCGCGTTTATGTACTTTTGAATATTCCTATCTGATTGTGAGAACTGTGGCTTCGTTTCATTCAACAACTTAAGCAATCTGCTTCTCCGCGTTAAGTACCGCGAGATTGATGAATTTATCGTAATCAATCCAATTTTATCGATGGCGCGTTTATGATTGTATCATAGAGAAAATTCCTCTATTATGAGATAGGATTCTAATGTGAGATAGTAGATTTCCAAATTCAATCGCAAATCTTTTTTCGCAACCGTTACACGATCTAACAATCAATTTTTTCTAAACGGATTTCACTCCATGGGCGATAAATTCATGGTGGAATCAACAGACGATGCCTGTTAATTTAGCAGAAAGAAACTCCGCTATCTTATATTACGAGCCTATCTCATAACAGAGGACTTTCCTCTATGCATAACACAGACTCAGGTTGATTCCGCTGTAATTCAGGATCGTTCCCTCTCTGCTTTCAGGCGAGATGACGAGCAACGTATTACGCGTGGCACGTGAAGCGCGACAACGCACGCTCGGACCGTTCAGTCCGTCCTTCAATGTGCAAGAAATATTGCTAGACAGCTTGCGGAAGGTGAGTGGAGAAGAAAATGATGACACTACCACATTTGAATCTGGCAGTCTGTTTATGCGCGCTGTTTTTCTTCCATCCAAGCATTAATTATTCCTACCTCATCCAGCATCATGTACAGAACGGACTCTGCAAAAAACAAACTTTTAGATGTGCAGCGCGTAACTTTCAAGAGATTATTATTATTATGATTATTATTCTCAAATTACGATTTATATTCTACGTGAACAAAAAGAATCTTGATTTGTTCAAAGTAATATTGTATATGTCTTATCGATTTTTAGTAATAAAAATGTACCGGTAGTATGTCACGTTTTCAGTCATTTTTATTCCAGTCTTCTGACCGTCGTTTTTATTCCAGTTTTTACCAGACGATGCGCACATTCGTGTCAACGGAAAATTACACATCTCTCTAACCAGAGTATACGACGGCAAGAACGTGATCGTTTCCCAATTCAACTCGAAGGAGGACTTGCTGCAGGTAAGATATGTTAAATCAAGGCAAAACTTGTCCGCGATGGATCCTCGTTAAAACAGAGCATCGCTTGAGACAATAAGGCAGTAACTTTCCGTGTCTTTCGGAGAAGTTTCGTACATTTTAGTTTTCCTTTTCCCGAGTAGTTATTGGTCATCCTACTTTACACTGTTCTACGTTTTCTGCAGGCTCTACTAGCCACTTCGTTTGTGCCGTTGTTCTCTGGCTTGCTGCCACCGCGGTTCCACGGTATCAGATACATGGACGGCGGTTTCAGCGACAATCTTCCTACGCTCGATGAAAATACTATTACCGTTAGCCCGTTCTGCGGAGAGAGCGATATCTGCCCGAGGGACATTTCGTCCCAACTTTTTCACGTACGTATATTCGCGTGTGTCAATAATAATTTCTCGTAAATAATTCCTCATTAAAGAGAACGAAGCAACTTCGAGTTAAATTCACGAACGTGTGCGCTTACCTGATTCCTTCTTTGTAATTATTCGCATCACTTATGCATGTCCTTATGCTTTGCAGGTCAATGTCGCCAATACAAGCATAGAGCTCTCCAGACAAAACATATATAGGTTCACGAAGATACTCTTTCCGCCTAAAACAGAGGTAAAATAAAAATGTTAATTACCGTCTTTAATACTGCGTAAATGTAACTTAAATACCTTAAATGTCACAGACGTAGTTTTACACGCTTTTGAATTACAGATTCTCTCGAGCATGTGTAAGCAGGGATTCGACGACGCATTGCGGTTTCTACATCGTAATAATCTACTGAACTGCACAAGGTGTCTCGCGATTCAGTCGACATACATAGTTGAGAAAACGATCGACGATTGTATGGAATATGATCCGGAATGTTTGGAATGTAAAATGCATAGACAGGTGAGAGGTTCTACGATGCTTTCAATAGCGACGGTGTCTCCGATAACAATCATTGCATTCTACTTATTTTAATTTAAACTCAGTGAAATTTCAGTGATATTTATTAATATTTTGATTATCCTTACTTTACGCACTTGATATTTCACTTTTTAGGAAGCATTGGTAGCTAATATGCCCGAAACTGTGTTGACTATATTCCAAGATGCTATAGACTCTGCCAACAAGGGGCTTGTTAACTGGCTGTTTAAGCATCGTAGCATGAAGCTGTTATCGTTGTTGAGTTTGCCCTGCACGCTACCGGCAGATGTAATGTACGCTACGATCACAAAGTAAGTAGCCACTGAAATATACATGAAACATGCGCATGGAAATATACATCAAATATGCGCATCACAGACACGCTTCACATAGCAGTATTATTTTTATAACAAACGTACGTGCACATATAAACAAATTATACATACTTAATGCTTTTCATTATTCTCACTGATTGGAGGTGTTGCGTGCCACAAAGATATGTACACTTTGTAAATTAACATTCTTTAATATTAAATATCGCAGATTAATGATTAAGGAAGATTTTTGTCTAGAAGAATTTTCAAAGCAAATTTTGTTTAAAACAACTTCGATTATGAAAATTTACGATTTTCCGTATATATTTCTTCGCGTTCGTGTTCGATATATTAATTGATAGTTTTGTAAGTACGTAGACTTGATACTTTTTGAATTAAAACCACTACGCACCTTCCGTTTTTCAAAAACATCTTTTGACAACATGCATGATTGAGGAATTTTGAAGTTTAAGAAAATGCAGCAAAAACAATCCTCTAGACAGGAATCCCGCCTTAAGTTCGTTTCATTATCTTTTATTGCATCGTATGTTGCACGAGCAACAATATCAACGTTGATACATACCACAGATTCAGTCGATTGGTGCAATTTCACGCATAATTACCGCTTGTAATATTTGTATTTAACGTCATGCATGTCATTGGTAGTCTGATTGGTAACAAGATAGAAACTCGTGCCTTGGAATACAAAGTAGTCGGAAATGTTCTGCATACCCCGCAACAGGCACTTACTTGCAATAAGCATTTAACACACTCCCGGTAAGCATAAATTCTAAGATGTAATGCTTTCTGCAAATGTCTGAAATCTTATTTTCACTTGTAACCTCTACTTTTGATGCGCATACTGATGTTGAAGTCTTCATCCTTCTTTCACGAAAGTATTGTAACGCGCGCGCGCGCGCGCGAGTTTTTACATTAGTTGCGAATTTATACTTTGTAGAGGTGCAAAAAGTAATAAAGTATCTCGACGGACAGAGACGTCTGTTTGCAATAAATACTCGGAATATTTTATAACGATTTGCTTTGTAATTAATGAAAAACGTATCTGTTTTATTTCAGATTCATTATGAGTGTTCCAAAGCTACGACATAACTTAGTGGAATTAAGTAAATTTTTCTTAGAGCAGTTGAGTATAATGTTCCCGAAGATCAATGTCTATGCTCAGCCATTGCCTCAAACGATCAAGTGTTATTTCAACATTATGGAATATAACTCGAGTAAGTACACTTTAGCCAATCATTTATAATCTGAACTTTTAAATCAATTCTAACAGAAAGTTTTATCTAATTGTTTTATAAACAATCTGTGCAACAGAAACAGATGAACGTTAATATGGTTTAAGAGGATCCCGCAGCCGTTTGTATGACAGAATTACCATTTTCGTAATTGGAACCTTTCGTCGTATTAAATTCATGGAATCAAAAATGCTTGCGTACAATTACAGTATATGCATTGATGATCCCAGGAATCTCCGATTTTATACAAAAAATGAGTAAAAATTTCAAAATTCATATATTGATTAGTTATATCCTTGTAGACGAACTGTCACTTAGTTATAACTTATGCTTCGTATAAAAGTTTTACAACTTGTACTCACATGAAAGTGAGTTTCCTGGGATTGGATTACATGTAAAATTACTGTAAAACCCTCCAAATTGGGATTAGAGGTTTTAAATAAGAATATAGTTTGTATGAAACTTTCGCGTTTATGTATGGGTGTGATGTATTGTAGATGCGTGTCCGTGTAGTTATGTAGCCTGCGTTTCGTGTTTAGATGGCGCACACCATCAAAGTTCGCCGAGCCCTGAGGGATCCTCTTAAGTGAGCTTGATGCGATTTACATTCTTTGATAGTGATTCTTATATTTTCGAACGTTTGCAGATGACGCGCAGGTTATAGAAGAGACAGAAGCTATGTACCAAAAGCAAAAAAATCTGAATTTGACTCTCCAATACAACGAATGGTAAGTAATTATAATGGAAATAGGTCTCTGATATAAGAATTATATCTAACAACCTTTTGAATTAATGTCATTACGGTTAAAACATTTTCATGTTACAGTGGACAATCGTGGAACAATTCAAGAAAATCGAGCTGTATAATAAATATGGGCGAGTTTACATCAGTGGACGATACTTTCGAAAATATTCTCCAAGTAAGTAACAAGAATAATAGAGTGTTTAAAACACAGTTTGAATAAGTTTCAAGATAAATTTTATATTGAATTATAACTTTTACTAGGCGACTTCGGATCAAGAGGCTGTGATAGCGTATTATTATATGGATGATAACCATAAAGTGCAAGTAACAGAAATATTCGATGTAACAGAATCAGAATCACATACCATGCTGTCCTTAGATGAAGTTGATACCAATAAAAAACTCCAATTCGATGATTGGGATGAGCCTACATGGTTATCTCAGCATACATTTAATGACGGTAATTAATTGGTATTTTCTACCTAAAAAATATCAACGATAGAGATTTATGATCAATATTTTAATATGATTTAATCAATGATTTTAATGACCGATCTAATTTAATTCTTGAAATTTTGTAAAATGTACAGCAGCTACAGAGTCTCTTTACACCGACGGAAATCAACAAAGCATGGAAAATTTGTCGGATATATCGTTAGATGAGATATTGGATAGCGCAAATATATTTTCCGATCCAGAAAGTGAGTGGGACGTCGAAAAGGACTCTGAACAAGTGGAGGTGTCCAAATCTCCAGACAGTCGACCGGAAGTAGATCAACCATCCACAAGCATGTTGCTATAGAAATAAGTTAACAGCCTGTTCATTTCTATATAATTGATAATGTAATTTTTGATGATATATTGCAAGAACATATGTGCTACTTAAATAATTTATAGAGAGAGACATTTTAATTAATTTACTTATATATTTTTATTTTTCTTATAAACAACTTGCTCCATCTAAAAGAGAATAATCTATGGATGATTTTTATTATTATTACAGAGTTTCTATAATTATGAATATATCAAATAAAATTATAACTTTGTTGACATTTAAGCTAAAATATTCTAAAGATTAGTTTCACCATTTGTATCTATGTATACATATTTATATTATAGAAATATTTTTGGAAATCTTTGTTATCAAAATTTAGAAAAATTTTATTAAAGCTTCTTACCGTTGTTACTTTTTAAAAATAAATATTTATGCTTTGTTTCATATCAGTTTAAGACTTTGCTATCTGGAGATTTAAAGCTGTAACGAAATATTTTTCATACATATCTTGCTTTAATTACAAAATAACATTTCTGGAAACGATATATAGACTACAAGTTTATAGATACGTCATTATAACGTGTGTTTTTTACTACACTTGATATGTGTAGCATTCAAAGTTAAATGTCTCACTTTACATAAACATGTACATTTAATTCTAAATGTTCTTGCAAGATATAATTAAGATAAAGCATTTAATATTCAGGCACAATTATTGAATACATGCCAATAATGCCACTTGCATGTAAGCGTCTGTAGTATGACGTGCAACAGTATTCTATGATAATTCAAGTTTACCAACTCGGATTTAAAAATTTAACATTAATAACGAGCGCTTGCCTGAGTTGATACATGTTACACAAAGAGACTGATATATTGGTGATTAAAGAGCGTCATATATCAAAACCATCGATATTTTTGATTCTAAAAAGAAACTCTGGAAAGTTGATCTTTTTTAGCGAAAATAGACTAGTACAATTTTCGTATATCGAACGATTGAAGATAGACGGCTAACGAACTGAATTTTAGTAGGAAAAACAGATGACATCACATATTTCATGAACTTGAAACAGATATAATGTTAAAGATTAAATAATTATTTTTAAAATAATGATTTTATCCTCGATTAAAAATGATTATTTCTATTTTCTTTTTGATTTATTATTATTCGTTTGTAGTTAAAAGGATACATCTGGGGCTTAATCATGATTTTTTTCCTCTAATGAACAAGAGTGAACAATTTCATTGATAATATTTAAAATCCTTCAATAAAATTTTTCACCTTTCACGAGTTCACACTAGACGAAAATATTTATGATTGAGCCCCTCCCAAGGAGAATAAAAAGTCAGGATGATGTCAATTTGATGTCATATTGACCAAATTTATGTCAAATTTTGGTCAATTTGATGCCGTATTGACATAAATTTGGACAATATGACATTAAATTGACATCATCCTGACTTTTTGTTCTCCTTGGGCTGCTTCTATAGTGTATAAGAAATTACAGCTAACTTTTAATACATGCTAATCAGACAAATATTTGTTAAACTTGAGTTCGGAAATTATTTTTCCAAACTACAAGATAATGTTGTACCTTGTAGTATTAGAAACAAGTTGTAAACTTGTTTATAACATGGTTGATATATCGTTCTTCATTGTAACATTTGTTTGAACACATTTCTTCAGGGAATGTGCATCCAAACATGTATGTCTTAAATATTATTATTCTATTTGCTTTGATAAATTTTATTATTCTAAGAGTTTATTATTATAAACTCCTAAACTTTAGCAGTAATTTTTTATATTCTATAATCTGATGTATAATAATTTTTTTCTCTACTACGATAAACCTATACTTCACACAATTATATTTTCTAGAGAGTCTTGATGTGCAAGATATGATATGTATTAACAATGCTGACTCAATTCACAATTTTGATGAGTATATGTATGTATAAATGATCTTTATCACATTATTTATCGCTCGTTATGTATACGTATGTCGAATGGATATAAATTCTTTCTTTGTTTCCACGTATTTCTCTTTTGTAGCTTATACGTAGAGCATAAATATCTGCAAACGTTTCTCAAAAAATTCGATGAATATAAAAACCTATGTACGACAACAATTACCTCTATTATAATTTGTTATTAATTTTGTTCATTCAAGAAGTTGTTGAAGCATGCCGAATCTGGAGGTTGTGAAAATAGAATAAATAGTTTAAGAATATCTTATTGTAACATTTAAGATTAGAGAATAAGGTCTGTATTTTTGCCACATCATCTTCCTGTTAGCGTTAATTATTGTTGAATAATTATTGTTAACTAATTTCTATACTTTAATAATAATAGATAGCACATACTTTTATATTCCTTCAAGATAGTATAATCTCGAATAGATTATTTATAATAGATTTTTAAAACAAATCTTTTGTGATCGTATACAGCTGGGTCTGAGTGTCAAAGATTATACAGATTTTATATTATGTTACAAAGCAGAACTTAATAACTATTGATCATGACCAGTTAGCTTTTAACGATATCTTGTTTCATACTGAATAGTTTTTTTATACACGTTTTAAAATTATATTTAAGTTTAATTTACGTACTTTAGAACTCCTATACATTCCGCTTTATACAAGATCGGGATTATAAAAAGAAAATTTGCCTACTATTTGCCTGGTTTTCACGATGGTTTTATTCAGAAAATAAGAATGTAAGAAAATATAGGTAATATATAATTGCTGTGAAATATTCCTGTATGTAAAAATTACTCTAAATAGATATGCAAATTATCTTTTTTATTCGTTGTAGGTTTAAACAATGCAATTTTTGAAAATATTTAAATCGTACGCTTTCGATTAACGAGTGTTATATTTTTGATTTGGTTATATATACGTAGTCTTCCTACTTGTTTATTTATGAATGATTCAATTAAAGACATATTGTGAATGAAAACGTTGGTCTCCTTGACAAATCTTCCTTTTTTCATAAAACATTAATATAAAATGTTATGTGGTGATCATATTGTGAATGATTACGCTTATTGTTGTGTTATCGTACCTCAGTAGAATAAGTAGATTAAGTGCTAACGAAGAAATTAAATCAATTATCTTGCCTATAATTGATATATTAAAAATTTGATATAGATTTGTTCAGGAAATACCTGGTTAGATATAATTTGAATATACAAAGGAAACCTGTGAGAAACGTTTATCTTAAGAACAAAGAGTTCTAATGATATTACATAAGTATTAGCAAAATATGTATGTTTTGGTATTTTTTAAATGCTAGCGATTTGTTTTTCACTTCGCAAAGCCTCGGTTAATTTATACATGAATATAGATGAACCGACAAACATTGTACGATGGCATTATATTAAAAGAAAATTAATGCATTTATGTTTCGTTAGCTTCTTCTAGTTTTGCGCATGGATATTTCTTGATAATTTTTATGTTTGTAATTTGTACAAAAATACCAAGAAAATATTTTGTGATATTACATGTGTAAAATATGTACTTTTTTACGATTACAAATAAAATGCAATGCATATCGAAATGTACAGATAAATGTTAACCACAACTAGATTACATACGACAATCTTTTGGAAAAATGCGAGAGCAATGGTATAATATAAATTTTAATATATTAAATAAAATGTCTGATATTCATTGATGAATGTCAATATTGCTTTCGTCAGTATTCGTAAAATAGATTAATACGAGGATTGATTGTGAGATTCTGCTGGTGCTATAAAAAGGGATAAACATCAATAAAAACTGGAATATTTATTATGTTTTTAATATAAAACAAATCGTATCGTATATATATATATTTATATATATATAAGTTATATTTACAATAATTGAAACCTCCCCTAAAGTAACATTTTAAGGCGGACAGTTATTTGGGAAAAATGCATTTATTGCACGTGGTCATAAATATTACGTAATACTGATCTGGTAAAATATCTTGTATATTTTCTTGTATACCTTGTGTATTTTCAGTCGGCAGATATGAATTATTTGCTAAAATAAAACTTTGTCATAATTAAGTAAACAGCTCAAAAGAAAAACCATTTATCATACAATTTCCATATGGAAAAAATTAAAATCTCATAATCATAATTATAATGTAATACACAAATGCCTCATTACATTTCTTCCAGGCGGGCTTCAATTATTTCGACATAACGTGATCATTTATTTGAACATATTCAGGCGGGATCTTCCCCCGGGGCAGACGTAGAATTTCTCTGAGCTTCTATTTGCGTCCTACTTTGAGAACTTCCCGCCGCGACGGCAACTTTATGCTGCGCAGCTAGACATTGTTGTAACTGCTGAAGCTGTAAAATGAAAATACTATTTCTTCGTTCCTAACAATATAGCTAATTCGTTCAATTGTATAAAAATGTTACACTTAAAAAAATGATACACTTTAAAAGTGGTTAATTTCCCTTAATTAAAACATACTTGTTGTCGGGACAAAGTAGCCACCCCGAGACTTTGCGTTTGCTGACTGCACTGGCCGGTAGAAGCCCTGGCGTGCAAGGATTTTGTCAATAGAGTTTGCTTATTAACAGGTACTACTTGGGAAGAAGGCGTCGTTTGTGACGCCATAAGCACAGGTTTCGTCGCAGCTGCGAAGTAGAAGATTTATATAGATATCGCTGAATGATAAGCGCAAAACACTATGCAGAAAAAAATTTGATCATTTTTTTGTTCGTGAATATCGATACATTATTGACTTACCTACTATAGGAGTTAATACTTGTTTGTTACCAGACAATATCAATTGATTTGCCGTTACTGTTTTGGCAACTGTCACCAGTTGATTCGATAAGACAGCCGATTTGACTTGATTCGATTGTACTTGACGAGTCATATGATTAAACCGCGGTCTTTGAGATCCAATAAGTTGGATTGCTTGTCCTCCCTAAGATTATATAATGTTATACGAATGGTATAAAGTACTCACGAATGCGTTTCTTATAATTAAAATGAAATTTCTGGTATAGTGCACATTTTAAGAATTAATATAAAGAATTTGTTATCTATTAATTGATACCTGTGCAAGAGTCACTGCATTATTACTCCTAATATTTTGCTGCGACAATCCTTTTACTCCAGATGGTATTATTTGGGCTGAAATACATATAGCTCATTAAATACTTAGAAATATAATAATACAATAAATATCATCTAAATCTCAAGAATGAGTGTATATCTTACATATAAGTGATTGTATTATAAGCGATAAGTTTCTAAAACTTTTTACATCAAACTCCTTTATATCGTAGTCTATGGAAAACTACGATAAGATTACAGAAACTAAAAAGCTTTATAAAACATAATTTCTCTTTTTTTAAATATAAGTAATTAACATGAGAAAACTAGAGAAAGATTGGATGTAGATATAAAATAAGCTTAATCAGTAGTACCCGTTCTATAGGATATAATTATATATTACCGATTGGTAAAGACAAATGATTGGCAGGATTGGCGATCACTACCGTCGGCGTAGTTCCGGCAATAGCTGTTGTAACGACTGTTGCAGCTACCATCTGAAATAACATAATATTCGGATAATATTCGATCAATAACTTACTTACAGACTTATTTATTCGTCATGTGTATGTTTTACATATGATACTAACTCTATCAATGAACACCTTCATATATGAGAAGTCCTACATATGTACATACAGTGATGGACAGAATGGTTGCGACACTTTTTTAAAAGATTTTAAGAACGCACATTTAGATTCAACTTTACGTTCCAAAACTTTTTCTCTGAGGAAAATTTTACTCGAGAAATCGAACGAAAACGCTCAAAATGGTTTTGGAATGGCCGAGTAAAATATTCCTCGGAAAAGAAGATTTTGAAACGTAACTCTGACTCTAAATGCAAGTTCCTAAACTCATTTAAAAAAAGTGCCACAACTATTCTGTCCATCACTGTACATAAAAAAAATATTTTGTTCTTTATTATAAATTCACGAAGAGTGTTTTATTTTAAGCTACCAGAAGAGGCACTTGTAATGAGTTGATACTAACACTCGACACTGTTGTGCAGGTATTTGTGGCAGACGATATTGGGAGGGAAACAATGACACCAGTAGGTGTGACGGTGCCGCCAGTGGTCGGAGACACATTTAATGACATCGTGATAGGTTGCGACAAGCCTGGAAACGATACCTAAAATGGACAATGTGTTAATTAATTTTGATCCGTATCGGCTTGTATGAGGAAAATTAACTGCTATTTTAAACAACCTGGACATTTTGTAGACCGTTGATGGAGTTCGGCAGACTAGTGAGGTTTACACCCTGTAGATTCACATTGGTTGGCGATGGGCTGGTCATCGGACTCGCTGGTTGACTGCTCTGACTGGAAGAAGCGGTGAGCCGTTCGAGCAGCGATGAAGTCGAATTCATTCCAGGTATCGGGTTGTCAGCCGATGGCGTGCCTGTTTATACGTAAAGATTATATTACTAATAACAATAGAAAGAATGAATATTTGAAAGAAAGATCATTTAAATTATACAGGGTGTTATGTAATAACGAGACCGAAATGTTCTCTACCATTTGCCACATACAGGGTGTTATGTAATAACGAGTCGAAATGTTCTCTACCATTTTGCCACATCTTGTCGCACGCTTGGGCGGTAGGCTGGGCTAAGGCAGCGATTTTTAATAATTAAAAACTCGTTAACTATTGCGAAAATTACAAAATGGTAAAAGACATTTTGACTCAGTTTAATCCGCTCTATCTGTAAATAAGAGGTAAGGCGGGTATTACATAACACCTTGTAAAGTTGCTGATGTCAAGTGATGCCAAAGTTATAGATTTAATCTTTAAATTTTAGTACGATGTATAATCAACAGCTTCTTAATCTATAATAAATTTATGTATAAAAGACTATATTTTCTATTTTTTAATGTTAAGTAGCATTAATTTATAGATATAATTTATTGTACCAGCAAGCAAAGCCGAAAGCCCTGGCATTGATAAGCCAAGAGTAGACGTAGGGTCTTGGACTCGCGCGAGTCTCACAGCGGTCGCCTTCACTGGTTGCTGTTTGCAACTTAACTGTCCTGTTAAAGCGGAAGAGCTTAAGCTCACGCGTACCTGAAATCAGACAAGTAACATTTAATTATATATTTTATATCACAATAGCTTTATATAAAATAATTAACTTTCAATTAAATTAAAAGAACTAAATGTGCCAATTAAAGAAATTATTAAAATTATATTTAATTTTATTAAAACATATATATATAAACTAAAATATGCTAAATATAATACAACATATAAATAAAACACAAAGTAAATTATTAATTGAATGATTTGTTAAACATACTTGACCACTGGTGTTGGGTACGTTGATCACATTGCCATGACTGATAACTCCAGGTGGGATGGAAGCATTAAGAGAGATCCTTTGAGGTTGGACTTTTCGCTGAGCTATATTTGCAGGTGTGCTATTTAACAGACTAAGGATCGCGGCATTGTTGGACTTGTTTGTGGCTTGTGCATTGTTATTCATAGCTGCAGCCGCGGCATTGGCTAAAATATAATATCGAGTGTGAATCTACAAGCGTATATAAAAGAATGGTATGCTCAAAGGACGCAAAAATATATATTTGTCTATTTCATGAAATGCATAGTGCGACACTCGTCCAATTTATCGAAATAAAAAATACTTTCCACGGTTGCAAACAAATATAGATATAATGTTTAAGTTTATATATATAAAAAAATTGCACAATTTTCATAATGTGAAGCGATAACGAACCTGCTGCTTGTTGCTGGAATTGCTGCGCTGAATTCATGAGGGAAGTAACCAGAGCGCTTATTGCTGGATTAGTCGAATGTTTCTTGAACGGTGGCTCACTTTGGCTCTGATTGGCCTCACTTATGCAGTTCTGTGTTCCCGCTTGCAATTGCGCTTGCTGCGAATTTTTAATAAAAAATTTATTTAATTAAATCGTCAATTTAATGCAATTATAATTCTGCATACTGTCGAGAAAACGTGTACTACAAATTCAAACTTTATTATAAAATATAGAAAAATGAATGTGTAGGCTCACCAGGACTGGAACATTGGTGGACGCTGTGTTATTAATGGTACCAGCAGACTTCTGAAAGACCAGAATACCAGAACCGTTACAAGTGTTGTCCGCCACTGCCATCGTGGAGTTCTCAATTTGCACGGGGGTCGATGTGTTAAGGCCACCATTGGCCAAAGATTGCCGTGAGCTCAATGAGGTAATATCATTCTGCGGGATAACTTGCGGTATATTCGCCGAGTCTACGCACGTGAGATTATTCTGCGCAGAGGTAGTGGCCTCTGTCATAGCCTTCATCGAGGCTACTTGACTAGCCAAATTAGTTAGTTGCCCTTGAGCCCGTGATAGAATCTGAAAGGACGTGCGGATTTGCTGAAAATGTTTGCATGGCTGTTATAAGATTGTAACGTGTACACACACTTGTATATCTTTCGTATTTTTATGCACCAGGAGAGAGGTATTTAAGTATTCTGTTTCTGGTGAACTCCCCTGTTCATGTGCAAAAGAAGAAGAGTAAACTAAGTTTACAAACCTGTTGTGCTACGTGTTGAGGCTGAACCTGCTGCAACTGTTGAGCTGCTAATTGCGCCACTTTTGCTTGTTGCGCCTGATAAAATTATAAAAAAATTATTTAGTAAAATATAAAAATAGAAGAAAAATAACAAATAAAACAGTTGAACAGACATTAAATAGAAAAAAGATGACATGTACCTGTTGTGCACGTTGCATGCTAGATGTACACGCAATACGAGGAGCCTGTCCTGGTACAATATGTTTTATTCTCACATTTTTCCTACCCTCTTCTGTAAATATTTCTTTAAATTGCTGATAATAATGATTGGCCACAGCTCGGGTACCCAATGTAAACCTAGAAAAATTAATTCATTATTTATCCAGTATAGTAAATAATTGTTTTGCGCAAAAAGAAAAAAAATACATAGATGTTTGTATATAGGCAATGTAAACGCACCGGCAAGAAGAACCATTCCTCTCTCCATCCCGATGATTCTTGTCCATATAAAGTTCTCCCAGGTACTCGGAAGTAGCGGGCCTCTGCAGGATCGAGAGTTTTATATAATCCTGACTTTCTGCAGGTTCTAATATATATTCTTCTATAACTTGTGGCGAACAGTCTCTTGACTCTTGTGGCGGCTTGTAAATTTTCGCGAATCTAATCAAATTTAATTGCTAATTAATTTCGCGGATATCTCACAGTCGAAGTTATAAAAGGATTAAATGTAGATTACAAATAATACGAATAAAAATGTGGAGAAAAGACATGCTAAGTACTTCAAAACGTCGGTCTCGCTAGGTGCAGGCAGCTCAGGAATTTTAAGAGAAGGCGGTGGACAGGCAGTATTGGTCGCTAATCCTCTTCTTTTCGTACGGAATTTCTGCATTAAATCATGTATTGTTTGTCCTTCCGGCTGGGCCAACTGTTCCAATTTTCTTTTTCGATTTACTGTGACCTGATGTTAAGCAATACAAGGTTTCCATAATGTTTCAAATCTTCAAGCAGTGTAATGCATATATATTGACAAAATTTTTCTAAATAACATTTCTTAAAATGTTGCAATTTACAGTAAAAATATTTTTTGTGGAATTTAATTTTGTTATATACTATAGAATTCAACCTTTTGTATATTATATACAATTTGTAGTATATTATATACATAATAACTTTCTAAACATTAATTAATTTTCTATAAAATATGATTTTTTTCATGTTCAGCATTTAAATACTATCCTTTGATATTCAGCATCTATTAAATAGCTTTTACAACTAGATCTTCAGAATTCAATTTCATTACATTTAAATAATAGATTGTAAATAAATTTGAAACTAAAGTACCTGAGAGAATTTTTTAGCTTGTCGTATGAGCTGATGATCGGTAAGTAATGATTTAGATTGCTTAATTCTTGTACTAGCTAAGGTGGGAATAGGATTTGGATCCAAGCATAAAGGACCTTGAGTAGCTGCCACCAAATGTGATTCCAATATTAATCGCTCCTCATGACTCCAATCTCCGTCACTCGTAAGTGTCGATACATCCGAAAGTACACTCTAAGCATAAACAATAATTTTCAAGATTTAATTTAAATCATATTTAATAAAACAAATCGATCTCAATCAATATATTAGTCTGAAGCATAATTGCAGATTATAAATCATATATTTTACTTTTATCCCTTAAGTACGCAATTTTTCGTAGTATTCTTAAAAAATATTTCAAGTTTAAAAATCAAAGTTTTAATCAATCAATTTCAAGTTCAAGAACCTGAAACAGGCCTTAAGTCCTATAAAATTAGACTCTTTGGCTTTTTACAAAGTTATACATTTTTAAGTTAAATGTTATAAGGGAGAGTACACGGAATATCAAACTCATTTTGCATAAATGTAAAGTTATGCACTTAAGAGTTATCTATATTATTATTTATCGTCTTAAGTCTGGGAACAGTCACCTGACTTTTTTGCATAAACGATCACCTGGATTTCTACACCTCAACAAGTTTCAACAGATTAGTATAAAAGTAATTCTTTCCACTAATGCAGATTGAGTTTCAGAATCTTCAAATAAAAGATAGATATGGATTCTTGCTCAACAAAGAATTTATGATGTTATTTTTTCGACGCTGGAAAAAAATCATTCCAGGTGACTGTTATCGGATTAATCTTTAATCTTTAAAGACGCGATTTTACCTGCGTAGTAGGTTTAAGAAGTACATGGTGAACTTCAGCTTTGTTGTGAAGAAATGATCTTCGATAATCTCGAACTTCGGCGATCACACAACCGTCATAAAATAAATGTGAATGAGTGGATTCTAGTTGTTCGGCTAGCATAGCTGGCAATTGGCCATTATCTATGCACGAAAGTAGTTCACCCTGTTCGTAACCCATGAGTTGCGTCTCAGCTAATGAATTTTTATCGTACTGATTCCCCTTATCGCTATTGAGAAATAAGATCTTTGTGTTAATATTAAAATTAAGGGCCTGACGTTTATTTTAACAACTAAATCGCATATGAAACGCATCTTTCTCCCCTGGTACCTCAAATGCTTTAAACTCAATAGAATTAAAGTTTAATATTTTTAAATCTAACACTAACAGTACATCATAATAATTTTGTGACATTGGAAGCGAGAAACCAAAGAAATAAAAAATTTAAATAAATAATGCATTCATTCACAAAAAAAACGCTGCAAGATTTTTCTTTATAATCTAAATCTTGTAATAGCATTATCATTGTCAATTATCATTGAGGTTAAAAAGTTAGATACTATCACTGCCTAATCAACGTTTCAGAAAGATAGTCAGCCCTGGCGTCAAAAACAGACTCTTACCTATTTCTTACAGCTAATGAGTATCCTTTATTACCAGCATATAGATTAACGATTAATGTATCTAAACCTTCCCTTTGAACTAACCGCCCCAAAAGATCACACTCATTCTCAAGATGTTTCTGTAACATGTAAAATAAAGTATCACATTGTGCTCGCACATATAAAAACACATGGATTACAGTATCGTATTGCAATATGAAAAAAAAAGCCTTAGTTTCTACTTGTAAAAATATAGTAATGCTCGAGGAGCAAACGTACCAAAACTGAATCTGGGGTTGCATGGGGAACCTTGGAAAGGTCTTCAAAATAGAGTCTGGTGAGTTTGGATTGGATACTATGCCTGGAGTGACTCTGCTCTTTTCTCTGAGAGGATAATGATTTATCCGATGTTAAGGCCAATGAATTTTGACCCTGGGCATTCTTCCAAGATCTGGATACTTTACTAATCATACCCTGCATAAGCAACGCAATGAGCGACTAATAAATAATTATTTAGTGACAATTTCATCTCCACGCAAGGCGCCGTTCTTTTGATGGCTGATTAAAAGTTTTCAGGCGTTAAAGAATTACAGTTTGAAAATGTTGCCACGCACCTGAGCCTGCCGACACGCATCTTCCAAAGTACAGGCTGTACTGATCATTGTAACTTCTGATTACTGATGCCACTTAATGTCATATCTGATGCGGTAATAATCGTTCATATTCTGAAAGATATCCATCAGACGTATTATTCTTTTGCATAAACTGCAACTGTAATTATAGAAATATGAGAAACGATTATTGAGTCTTGTGCCACAAATAATTTAAGTGTGCTACAATTAAACATATTAATTAATAGGGAAGTTTAATGCTTTAACATCTTTTTCTTTATACGAGAATACAAATTTGATTGGTAATAAAATAATCTTAATATCAAACAGTATCTTTAAATTGAATATCTCTTTATCACTTATTTTTAATATCTCATCTCTATAATCAAATTAGTTCATGATGTTACTATCAATTTTTAGTACAAAAATAATCAGTTCTTGACAAATAATCAAGGCTTGAGATAAATTTCTTCCATCAAAGATATAACCTCTAAATTAATTACGAATATAATTGTCACTAGTTAGTAAAAATCTCAAAAGTATTAATCAGTCTGTTTTGCCATCTTTCCGAATCTCTTTAGACTTCAAAGAGGTACAGAGACATTTGATAAAAGAAAGAGCGAAGAAATTAAGTGCGACAAACATTAATTGCAATGGATAGACTAAAGAGTGTATCTTCAAACAGCACATTCATATGTATCTTCGTTTTTACATACGTTAAACAAATGTCACGTTTCTTTAATTGAAACTGATATCCCGTTTCTCACACATACTGTGCATTTTCTACTTGATATTTGCGACAGCTACAAATTTGCGAATATTTACGCGAACAACATCTGACGTCTCGGCGACGCAATGCCTAAACATATGTCTTTATTACTTAGTTCATCACGTCTCTCGTGCACGAATGTGTGTCGTACAAATTTCTACTCTACACCATGATGTAAAAATACAAGGTGAAACGCATGTAACCAATTTTTGGGGGCAAATTGTTCACTAGCTCTTGCTACATTCAACCGCGATGATTTGCAGTTTGAAGGTTGGTGACAAATTTCTGACTGGTGCGGCATCCACGGGAATGTTACACCTGGTATTATTGCATCATTCTCTATACCGTCAAGCTGATTTAAATCAACAAACTGTCCACATTGTAGATTAAGGCACAAACGTCAAAAATAACAGCGAGAAACGAGATAGAATGAAACGTTGGTCGGAAAATCACAGAACAGACGCGCGTGTTGACGAGAACTCGCAGTCTCTGTGCATTTTACCTAATAACCCTCGTAAAGTATTTACCGGAGGCTACATCCGCGAATCTGCCCGCAGCTACCGTAAAAGTGTCGCGATCACGAGAGAAAGAGAGAGAGACTAGTTTACCTCCAGTGATGAACGGCTGACACAAACCACCGATAACCGATTCGACACAATCGTCGCCGAGATTCACCTGCTATCGGACGCGCGAATCGAATCGAGACGCCGTCGCGGTCGCCGCGGGATCCGCAACTGGTGCGCGCTTCTCGCGAAAAAAACCCGCGGGATCCCGTCTCGTGCTCGTGTGCGTGCTCGATGAGGCCAACTGACGCCTATATCTCATCCACGACTAACGAGGGACGATCCGTCGTCGGGGAAGGAAAGGGGGGACGGTAAACAAGCCCGAGACCGAGATCGTCGCGACCGGTCCGCGAGGGTGCACGGGGGAACGAGAGAGCGCCAGGGTGGACTGGCGCGTGCGGGGAAAACGTGCGCGACGGGCGAGCGGACGAGCGAGAACGGAGCACGAAGGAGAGGTTAGGTCGGGCAGGCTCGCGGTAGCGTGCGGTGGCGGCGACGGTGTCGCGACGCGGCGCCGCGCGGCGCGGCGTCGCGACGCTCCGCGCCGAACGGCGGCGGCGGCGGCGGTCGCCCGCCCGCGAATTACCTTCGTTGAGTCGGGGAGAGAGCATCGGCTGCGCGCACGTTGACTCCTGGCGGCTGGCCGACTTGGTGCGATCCTAACCTCACCGCCGTGCACGATCACGTTCTCGTCGCTCGTGGGGTACGGTGCCCTCGGCGTGCGTGCGTGCGTGCGTGCGTACCTGCGTGCGTGCGTGCGTGCGTGCGTGCGTGAGTACGGACGGACGGACCGACCGACTTGACCGTCGGTCGCGGGTGCCTCTGTGCGCCTCGTGTCTGGTCTTCGACGCGGGGAGATGCCTCGGAGGCGGATACCTCGGTGGCTCACTGCTCGCTCCGGCGTGCCCGATATTTTGCAACAAACGTCATTTCGCGGAGAGCGTAGTGTAACCTGCTACACAAACACCGCATGCACAACCACGGATTGTGCGAGAGCCTCCCAGATCTACTTCGCCGCGCTGCCCGCCCGCGCCGCCAGCCGATTCGTCATTCGTCCATTCGTCCGCGAGCCGCCCCCGCGCGTCGAAGCGCCATAATTAAATTTTTAAGAACTGGGAAAAGATAATGAATTAAATAGCGAGATTAAAGATTACTACATCGGTAGGAGCATAGTATAACTAGTAGGTCCAGTTTTTCTCGGCCCGTTGATCTTTACGGCCCCGGTCTCGTATGGTTCTCCGCCATTGTTTTGGTCAGATTTTGGTTAAGATATACCAACGTGCTTAGAAGATTAGCTATCAAATTGTCACGTTTAATATTTTTAATATACATCAAATATATCAGCAGCAATTGTATTAAAACCAATTATATAATTTATGAAACTTATTTTCGATTAATTGTGTTATTTAGTAGGACTGGTAATTTCCTTCAAAGGTTTCGACATTCGAACTTCGAAACTTCGAAACATTTATTCGTGTGAGTGTCGAATTTATTCAAAGAATACTTAAAAATATTGCAAATAAAAAGTATTAACAACGAAAGTAATAAAAAAGTTTCTGACTCACCGACCGCCACGGTGATCCTGTAACATACAATTATAAAGTTCATATTAAAACAGAGTATTCAAGAAAATGGATATTAAAGAAAACAATTTTTAAATTATTGAAAATAAACAAGAGAAAGATTAATTTTATACAAAAGAAAAAATATTTACCCTTAAGTTGCTCCGCCGGTGCCTGATGCCTTCCCCAGGCCTCCTCCTCCACTCAGGTTGTCTTCTTGCACACTCGCGAAAACACAAAGATCGTTCGCGCGATTTTAACACTTTGAAAGTCTTTAGTCCAATTACACAAACGGCACTCCCGAACGCGACACGACGAATCGCCGCGCGCGGTTGCGATTCGTTTAAACTGGCGAAATAATAGCGAAATTATTCGTCAGTCCTCGAAAGTTCGTGCTGAAATGAACACATTCAATTAATAAATGTGCTCTCCAAAAGTCAATCGGTGGATTATCACTGAAAACAGTGAGTCGATTCGTTATTTTCAGTAATAATCCACCGAGTAACTTTCAGAGAGTGTTAGGCCTGGTTTATCATTTTTTGGTTAACTGTTAATGTGGAAGTTACTCGACACTCTATGCTTTTCTATATTATTATCTAAGAAGAGACAGAGAATCGATTAAACTATGGTCAACAGTTTATTAGAAACTGAAAAATCGGGCCCAAATAGTGCAATGGGTACCTTTGGTTGTCCCGTCTTTAGGGTATGTACTCTCTAAAAATTAATCTGTGCATTATTACTGTAAATCAGTGAATATTCATTGCTTTCAGTAATAAACTGAGTGATTTTTAGAGAGTAACCCTTCAGGGTTCTTAAGCCCCTCCACCACAGCAAGGTAGTGCCCGAGGAGGGGATTATCAACAAGAAACTGTGCAATTACATATGTTTAAATATAGAAAAATACTCGATTCTGACCCGACTCTGACCCTTGGTGGCAATGTAGTCTATGAATACCGGCCTTAGATTATATTTAAGATGTTCTTAAATATAAGAACGGACTATGGCCAGTATTCACTGTATTTAACACTGTCTTGAATTTACCTAAAGATGCTGTATGGAACATTTCATTGGCTGCGTTCGGCAGGAAAAGCTGTTTTGCAACTGTTGTAAAATTCGTGAATCTGATTGGTGTGTTCTCTCAATCTTGTATGAATTTTTAAGAGCATACGCCAATCAGATTCATGAATTTTACAACAGTTGCAAAGCAGCTTTTTCTGCCGAACGTAGCCATTGGCTACAGAGTATCTAAAGATGATCTTGAGACAGCCTTGAATATAAGATCTGACTGTGAATACCGGCCCTAGCCCGATGCAGACTTTACAAGCGTCAGGGACTACGTTTCCACCGAGGGTCAGAGTCGGGCTAGAGTCGGGTCAGAATCGAATTGGGGTGAGCGTTTTTGCGGTGGAAACACCAAACCCCAACCCGATTCTGACCCGGTTTGGTGTTTCCACCGCAAAAACGCTCACCCCAACCCGATTCTGACCCAACTCTAGCCCGACTCTGACCCTCGGTGGAAAAGTAGTCATTTTCAATCGTATAAATTTAAATTTAAGATCCGACAATGGCCGAGAAGATGGCGTCTCGATCGCCATTGCCGGCGCGAGAGCGAGGCGCGAGTCCGCCGGATAATCGGCGGGCCTGGTAAATCACTAGTTCGTGCCTTTGACGGCTAACCATCAATTGGCTCCGCGTTCAAAACACGCTCGGTCCTCGGTACATAAAAAAAAATTCGCGTTCGATGTTCCATTAAATCGCCAAGTGACCGGTCACGTGACTGTACCCGCGGGGAGCACCACGGCCGTCCGACAGACTCGCGGTAGAACGACCCGGACGATCGGCGCGCGCTCGATCCGGTCTCCACGGCCGCCCGATCCATCGGATTTCCACGCGATCCGATTCCTCCCCGGACCGCCCGCAGTTTTCCACCGCAAAACTCCCACGATCCTGCCGTCCCGAGGCTCGCGATTATGATATCTCTTCAGTCCCACAATCAGGTTTGCGCCACCCGACGTTCTGCAGTTGCATCATGCTGCGACAACGTGCCTCTCGCATATACATGTTTTTTTTTGCCCTTGGACGAGCACGAGCATTTTAGCTTTCGTTAAATATGTATATAAACTGTATACTTATATACTCGGTCCCCTCTTTGTATGCATGATACGCAATTGCGTCGCCCGGATCGCATATGCGTGCGATAGATGCGCTCTACGTTTGCGACATACTGTCAGACTTGTTGTTTTCATCATTTATCAGATTTAGAACGTCAACGATAATTGATAATAAAAAAATGGCACACTGTCGTCACGATGAAAGGTTTTAAAATTGACGATTCACTTAAAGTCTTGTTTATTCGCAAAGTTTTCGATCCCAACTGATCGCCACGTCAGCAGTTGCAGCTGAAGAATCAAATTGCTTTTTATTTGTCGTTTTACTGAATTTAAGAGAAATCGTGTCTCGATGTTGAGTTTGGACTTTCCAATTTTAGGTTGTGTACCATCTGACGCAGCTGGCGTTGACTGCCTCTCCCAGGACTACTTCGTACTCGGTCCGAGTTAAGAAACAGGATGAATCCTCACAAAAGAATGCGGAGGAGACAGCAATTTGTCTTGACAGTCTCAAGGAGGTATTTCTGTAGAATCTGCTTTTCTAGATTTCGGCCCACATTTAAGAATTAATGATGACGTCTCATTAAGGATACATAGGAAATACATAAAGTTACTTTTGAAACTTATTCGTTTCGCGCCTGTCAATAGTGAAATTTTATGTACAAGCGCAACTTTTGATTTGTTTCAGGCAGCGAGAAATTGTACCGAGTTACCGGAGATAAATCTGAGCACTTCCAACGTGCTACAAATGAAGGACAATAAGGTGTGCTTGATGCTGGACAACGTAGCCGTCAGCGTACTTAGGGAACCCTTGGAAAAGAATAACAAGTGGAAAGTGTCTTACTTATCCGGCCTAAGTTTCGCCGAGAACAAACGGGACTTTCCGTGCTCCTTGTTCACGGAGCCCATTATTCTACCCGTCATTCATCTAGCGAATAGACAGCAGCACAGACTGTTGCACACGTGGTACAGCAAGAAGCTGCACAGTCATATGCCGATTCGCACATTCAAGTCTCAGCGTAATATAAAAATGGAACTGGAGCAAAACCCACCGTTCATGAACAGAATAAAGAAGTGGCTGGGCCTGTCTCCTAATGTACAAATGGTACGGCATATTTATATTTTACTCGAATGATATGACTTATTAAAACGCGATTATGAGCGTTCAACAAATGAAGCTTTTCAATTGATTTTATTTTATTATTGCAGGGTTTGGTATCCGAGTTGAAAGGTTCGGATTATAAGAAGCTAAAGCAGATTTTCAATGATACTGATGCAACAACGGACGAACAGAAAAGAATAAAAATTGCTTTCGTGGAGGGATACGAATCTGGGCTACAGCGCCAGATGCGGGGCCGCGGCAACGCAACAATGTTACTGAAAATTGTGCACACTATGCTAGCTGTCTGCGCTATTGTTGTTGTAATTTTGCTTTATCGTACGTATATCAAAATCGTCGCTACTTTTATCACATTGAAAGTTTCTTCGTTGACTAAATTATAATGTACAGTCAGCTACCCAGGAGGAGGAATATTCAAGCTTCCTATGAGTCATAGGATTGAAATTGATCCTGAAGATATCCACGTCACTTTTAACGATGTTAAAGGGGTAGGTGATAAACATTTGTTTCAGAACATCTAATTACATTGCTGAATTAATTTTACCCAGTATAGTATGATTAATTTACGCAAATTTAAGTATTCTAAATATTCGTAAAAATTTTACAGGTAGATGAAGCAAAGCAAGAACTTCTGAATGTAGTTGAATTCTTAAAGAACCCTGACAAGTTTTCCGCCCTCGGCGGAAAGTTGCCGAAGGGAGTATTGTTGGTCGGTCCGCCAGGAACAGGAAAAACATTGTTAGCGCGCGCAGTCGCTGGAGAAGCCGGTGTACCATTTTTCCACGTGGCAGGCCCTGAATTTGATGAGATCCTCGTTGGCCAAGGTGCCCGACGTGTCAGAGACTTGTTCAGTGAGTAAAGTCCAACGGGCATTGTACAAAGACAAAAACGTTCATTAGTAAATTATCAAAATCGTGGAAAGTACATTCGCTATCTTGCGTAACTTTGCAGGAGCGGCGAAAGAAAAGGCACCGTGCGTAGTGTTCATTGATGAGATCGATTCTGTGGGTGCGAAAAGGACGAATTCAGTCCTTCATCCTTATGCGAATCAGACAATTAACCAGTTACTTTCTGAAATGGATGGGTGAGTTTACGAATTGGCTGAAATTAAACGTAGTTATGCAATATAATATTTGAAATTCTATTATACTACATATCTCTTGAGAAGAACTGCTACAAAATGTTTCACGACCTAAGTCTTTTCAAGTTAGAGAGAATTTAAAATTTACTTTTTCAGCTTTCGTCAGAACGAAGGTGTCATAATTCTTGGTGCCACAAATAGGCGTAAGGATCTTGACAAAGCGTTAATGCGTCCTGGTCGTTTCGACGTTGAGATTTATGTGAACAAGCCTGATTACGGTGGTCGTAAGGAGATATTAGACCTCTACTTATCCAGAATATTAACTCACGAAGTCGATACGGTTTATTTAGCACGCTGTACTATAGGATTCACTGGAGCCGATCTCGAAAACATGGTAAGAAAGATTATTTTATATAATACTATGTAGCTCTAATTATATCATATTAGCTTTGAACCACGAATTTTTTTATTAGTTCGCGATTTTCTTTTTAACATGATTCAAGATTTTCAAAGTGTTTTAATATTAAATTTTTTCAAATTTATTTGATTTGGGAAGCAAATAAATGTGTCTAAGAAATTGAATGTTCTATTATGATATTACAGGTAAACCAAGCTGCATTGCGCGCGGCAATTGATGAAGCAGACTACGTCACTATGAAATATTTGGAGTATGCTAGAGATAAAGTATTGATGGGTCCAGAGGGCAAACTGAAGTTACTCGACGAAGAAGTCAATCGCATTACAGCATACCACGAAGCAGGACATGCTCTAGTATCATTTTACACCAAAGATGCTACGCCGCTTCATAAGGTCACTATTGTGCCAAGAGGACCGTCGTTAGGTCATGTACGTAACTAATTTCTAATCTAATTTCTAATCTATCTTCTAGTTTGATTATCTCATAAAATGAAACATTTCGCTTTCGCTCGAAATGTAACATTTTATGAGGGAGAGTAAGTTTAGATATTTTTATAAGTTGTGCTCGATCTTGTATTTTTTAATCTATAAATTATGTTGTTTTTCGTCTTAGACTTCTTACATGCATGAGAAGGATGTTTATCACGTCACAAAGTCACAATTATTAGCCAGAATGGATTCCCTGATGGGTGGCAGAGCTGCAGAAGAATTAGTATTTGGGCCAGAAAAAGTGACGACAGGAGCTTCTTCTGATTTAATGGTATGATTATATTTTAGTTTTATATGTTATGATATTACATAGTTTGACAAGAATCACTTTTGTTCAAGAAAATGTTAGAAATATAAATTAAAATAAATGTAGATATGTATTTCTTTTTCTTTTTGCAGGAGGCAACGAAGATAGCGGAAGTGATGGTAAAGATGTACGGAATGTCAGAGAAGGTGGGATTCAGGTCAATAGTGAAGAATAAAAAGCTTATGGGTGATAACAGCACGTACGCGCCAAGTACGAATGAGCTCATTGACACTGAAGTAAAACGACTTTTACAGGTGAATTTAATATTCTTGTATTAAAAATGCGAGCCGATGAGAAATGTTTTCTTTTTCTTTCCTTTTTTTTTAATAAGAAACAATTTCATCAATTATTTTAGTAAAACGGAATTATTGATTATAAGAAAATTATCACTCTCTTTCTATAACTAACTAAATTGTCTTTAAATATATTTTACAGGAATCGTATGAACGTGCGAAAGCAATTTTGAAAATCCATGCGAAAGAACACAAACAGCTAGCAGAAGCCTTATTACAGTATGAGACATTGGATGCAGATGATGTAGCTGCCATAGCAAATGGTAAGTGGATTATGTACTACAGAATAAGGATAGTTTGTGATGTAATATAAACTATAGTGATTTCTCCCTCTTTTAAATAAAAAAATATATATGATATAAATACAGATTTGTTTATATAAAAATTTATTAATCAGAAACTCTTCAGGATCGCCAGCAAAAATTAAAAACAAATAATTTGGTTGACCATATCTGGCAATTTTTAATACTTTCGTATCGCTACGTTTATATTTAAAATTTATATTTACACACACATAGAGGAAAGTCCTCTATTATGAGATAGGAGTCTAATATGAGATATTAGATTTTCAATGTCCAAATTCAATCACAAATCTTTTTTCGCAACTATTATACGATTATACGATCTAACAATCAATTTTCCACTAAACAGATTTCACTTCAAGGGCAATAAATTCATGGTAAAACCAACAAATAATGCCTATTAATTTAGCAGAAACTCTACTTTCTCATATTAGGATCGTATCTTATAATGGGGAACTTTTCTCTATATGCATATTTTTGGAATACTTTGGAATACTACCTTTTGGAATACTAGGACATTACTTGTGTTAAAAAGTATGTTGTATTTGACGTTATTGTTTCAGAAACGGGACTTAGCAAACGAGAATCGTCTGCAGATCCAAAGAGACCGGCGAAATAATCTTAATCTAAATGTAATTATTTGTGAACATTTCTTGAAAAGGTAGGAATCAGATATAATAATTATATATAATACTTTTGTAGATATGCCGTATCATATAATAATTCTTATAAAGACTTGTATAAAGTTCAATTCATAAAAGATTTAAAATCTACTCTGCTAGTTTTTATTTTTCAATTTTATTTTAGAAGACTGTTAGTTTTTTTTGAGGAATTTATACACATTGTTACTCACTTATTTAAACGACTAAAAATAAGATGTTATCGTGCAATATCCTATTTAGAAAGAGATGCTATTTTTTAAATATTTGTTGAAATTCGAGACATATTTCTTTCTACAATTATTATATATTCTAATAAATAAATGCTATCATTAATTTTCTTTGTTTACAATTTTAGCAAATAATTTATACAAAAATAAGATGCTTAATTATTCTATACATATATTTTAAGAAATAAAATATAAAAATATGTTGCTATTACATATATTACTAACAACTATGTTGCGTTTTAAATCAACGAGTATTCTTTTAGTAATAGCAACTATTTTTTAACAACATATATTTTTATTATTGATTAACTACTTCAATAAATTATTCAATACCATGAAATAAGGTCAATAATTTGCTGGAGAACGTAAGTAGGTTCTGCATTTATTGCGATTTTTAAAGATAATAGAAGAGGTTATTGAAAAAATTAATTTTATTAGACAAGTCACGTTTTCTGTTATCTTGCAGTTTGTTCTTGGTCTGTGTTCGTTTAATAAAAATTTGGGCAATACACTATTTTCTTCAAAAAATGGAAATTATCGAGGTTATCGACAAGGAACTGATTATCGACAATTTCGTCTTCCCTTCATGCCCGAGATCCGCAATTGAAGAATCGCAAAGTGCCCAGCGAGTATGAAAGTATGTCGGAAATACAATTAATTTTGATTTACCATTACACGATCATAGATATAAATTGAATTATGTATATACATACATACATACACATATTTATATACATATATCTCAAGACTTCTGTGCGTGTTATTTCATCCTTTCTTACTTTTCAACATCCATAATTATCATGTTTTTTAAATATATATTTATATGGATAAATTAAATCCATTAAAAAAGTGCAAGTGCGTAATACAAGGGGAAAAGAGCTCAACAGGATCAATCACCTGTTTTCTATCGAACTTGAACGGTATCTGAAGAAATCGAGATTTAGAAATGTTTCTCAAGTATCGAAAGTTTTCTTTGGCGGTTCTGTGTGAATAAATATGTATCGTTATTTTTCTGTAAATGTTCTATCGCAGTTTGATTTTTAATGAAATAATTGTCTATAAAGATATATATTTTTTTAATATAAAACAAGTGTATGCTTGTATTTAAAAAAAAAGTTTTTTCTTAATTGAGTCACAAAGGGACAAATCTAAGAATAACTCGTAACGAGGGCTTTACAAAACGTACTTAATAATGGTTATATTTATTTTACAAATGGTGCGACGCGGGGTAATCGCGCATTCGGGCAGCACAAAATGGAGTGTTAAACGATCGTTGCAATACCTCAATTAAGGTAACGTAATGGTTGCGATATGTTTGCGTGTTTGTTTACGATGTTTGGATTTACCCGCGTCACGGTAACGCATATGCAGTTGCATTTGCGCCGTGTCGCGACTCGTTACATTTTTCTATGCATCCTAACGTCTGTCGATAGTGATCCTGTGAGCGATCACAAATTAGCGTGACAAACGATAGTATTCAACCGAGTTTTTTCGATTATATTCATATGAATGAGCGTTACAAAAAGGGAAGAACGACTTGAATGCGATCAATATGCCAGATCGATTTTGCATTGCAAATTACACACAATAACACAATGGTGATATATTGCGCTTTGTCACAGATAACAAGGAAAGTTGCTGAAATTCCGGTATCATATATCCGCAAAAATGATGACGTGTGCGTCAAGAACGCAAACGCTGAATTCGGTCAATAAATGGTGAATTCTATGCCGAGGTAGGAGAAGGCGATTAGGGTTAAGCATGGGATAGTTTGAGCGACGAATCGTTATTCAAGTAAAAATTTACGTAATACTTGACAAATGACAGAGCTTTACGTTTATAATAATTTAATAATCATAAGCTGTTAAGTATGCTTCTTAAGCCTTTATTACGAGTTATTCTTAGACTCGTCCCTTGCGACTCGATATAAGAGAGGCTTTCTTTAAAGAACAAGCATTTATGTTACACACAAATATATTTGTGTGTAGTATTTCATCGTAAATTTGTTGCTCTTGGAGTAAAATCTGTTTAATGGAAAATTCATTGTTAGATCGTGTAATCGTGAATAAAGATTTGTGATTAAATTTGTATGTTGAAAACCTGCTATCTCATATTAGACGCCCATCGTACAATAGAGGACTATCAATCATACAAAAAATAATTTTAACAAAATAAAAGTAACATCTACAGCTGTACTCCACATTTTTAAAATAACGCAAATATTCAACAAGGTATCTTACAGCCGCGAAAGGTTGAACGTAGCGACGAAAAATTCAAAGAACACGACAGTGGTTTCACGGCAAAACCGCTGGGACCCAAAGGGTTAATAACGAGAACTTATCATCTTTCAGTTTTATGGAGGAGCGCAATTTTCCACACTTTAATGTCGCTATAATTTTCTTATAACTGCGAAGAAACGGTCCCCTATGCCTTCCCTCTTCCGTCGAAGATTTCGCTCGGCACAAAGCTCAACCATCCCTGCCTCGACCGTCATTATCATCAGCACCTTGTCGATGATGCGACCGCACGCCGCGTGGGAAAAGCGTCGCGATTTACGCGCTTCGCCGGAGCTTGTGCCGGAGCTTTAGTATCGCAATTATATCGGACGTGGACCGGAGATTGAGTCGGGGCTCATAACTCTCGTCGGTCGTAACGTTCAGCTGCAGGCCGTTCGTTCAGCCGTGCCTGCATTTCATAGGCCGCCAGATGTTACGCGTCTACATATCAGCGGCCCCCGCGCACTTCACGTGTGCACGGTACGTACGTATTCATTACTAAATTACAAGCAATGCGAGCGAGCGAGCGAGCTCGTTCGCCGCGACGCGAGGCAACGCGGCCGGCGCGTTTCGACCGCGAATCGCCGATGGCACGTAAAACAACGGGCGCGCACTGTTTGCTCGCCCGTGACGGAAATTCGCGTTACAACCACCCCCTCTCTGTCTCTCTTTCTACATTATGTAAGATCATTTTAACGCTTTCATTAAATAAATTAACAGAGCGATGAATAAGCGACAAATTGCGCGTACGGCCGCGCGTTCTTGGATGACGTAACAACAAACAATTTGGTCGGAACAATTTAGTCGAAATGGCCCGCAAAATTAGACGGTATTCTCCGGAATGCTTTTCTTTGTCAATAATAGAAAGGAAGGGGAGGAGATTATAAAATGTGCTCTTTAATAGCGTAAAATTATTAAATTATTAGAAATTAGAATCGATATATGAGGACGATGTTTGCGAATTAGTGTTACGCTGACTGGTGACACTGGCCTACAACGAAAATGGCTCGGAAATGAAATCAGTCAAATATGTTAGTGAAAATTTCTATTAGCTCTAGTTTCGACAATATATGAGGTAAAAATTTCCCACGACCGTTTTTTTTATCGACTATTTTTGGTCAACTGTAATTTTACAACGTGATAAACGATTCGAAAAGATCTCGAAAGAAAACTTATATCTTCTACTTTATTAAGGAAAAATGCAAATTTTCTAAATATAATGTGTGCATGCTTGAAATTATTTTTAACTTCATCAGGCAGACAAGCTTACACAAATACCTGCAAATAAAGTTAAAAGTTTTTGCAAAAATTATTTGCAAAAATTTTCTTGATGAAGTAAAAGTGTGAGCTTTCTTTTGAAACGTTTTTGAATAATTTATCATGTTTCGTTGTAAAGTTACAGTCGACAAAAGATGCCGTTTTTGGGGATTTCAACCCCCTGTATCATCAAAACTAGTGCTAATAAAAAATGTTGACTAACGCATTTGAATTCAGCGACCCTAAATTAATAAAGATTGATTGACTTCGTCTTCCGAGACAGGAAATAAGTTCAATTTTGTTGAACAGCGTGATAAAAAGAAATTGTCTTATCTATTTTTATTTTGTCTTCATGCATATCGTTATTTACTTCTCGAGAGGATAAAGACTCGATATCGGAATCAATGTAGATTGTGATTGCAATTTACGACGTGTCTTTTCCGAATCGTTTGCGATATTTTATAAAACTTTTAACACGCGAGGCGTGGCTCGTGGAAAACCAGAGATGAATCTCCCCCCTTGATTTTGTCACCACCTACCAAATAGATATCATCGATCAGGCTTGCAGGGAGGAGGGAAGGCGCAAATTAGATTTTTAATATATTTTCTCTAAAATTTATATCTCCGTCAAATTATGATAATTTTAAATTCGGTAAACAATAATCGACTGCCTATATAGGAATTATGGTGAGTAAGCGAACGATCAATTCATTACTTAACTCCGTTCCGGCTTATCGCACTCGGGATTACCTCCCTCTCACTTCCCCCGTCGTGGAAAATTACTCGCGCCCCCAAAACAATCTCTAAACAATCCAAATTAATTCGGGCGGACGCGCGCGATGATCGCGTTTTCTGCTCGCGGATAAATCGAGGGGGCGTGGGAGGGGAGGGAGGCTCGAAGCACGGACTTGTAGCGAGCAGATACAAGTGCGGGGGAGGCAGGACGGGGAGGAAACGGGGGTGGTTTCTAGGGGGTTACATTGTCTGGGGAAGGCGAACACTATTTGCCGGCAAAGTAGATTAGGTCGGTATTGATAGAGACGGAGCGGCGGAAAGAGAGAGGAAGTAATAGACCGATAAGGGTTGAAGGAGGTTGGACGGCGGAGGCGAGGGAAGAAGACGGAGGATGGATGAAGGTGGGCTCTCTGAGACGGCCAATATAGGATGGGATATAGCAATAGAGTTTCGCTTACGAGGTATAACCGCGTTAGACGGTGCCCTTTGTTGTATCAGTGCGCCGAGGCGCAATTGCCTTAAGTTCTGATCTCACGAGATGTCGGGATGCTGGATGCTCCTCGGGTCCGGCGAGGAGACGAGTCGACTGCTTTTTTCCCCTCGAATTTTACGTACCCCCGGACAATACTGCGTTGCTACGGCGACACTCGTTCCGCTGTGATTTCCGAGCCAACCGATTTACAGATCACCGTTTAGTATCATAATCAAGTATTTTCTCTTGGGACTTACCTTGAAAATCCTAGTGGCGTTTCGAACAATTTTAAGGCCTGTGTCCACGATGTTAGAACTTGGTCCTTTATGAGTTTTGCAAAATTTTACTGTACATTTCAGTAAAATTTAGCCTCGTGAAATTAGTAAAAAACTCTCACGAAATTTAAGAGAAAATTCTCTCTGTGTGATGTTAAGATTAAAAATATATTCCGTTTCGTTAAGATTCTCTGTTGTTTAGAATTGTAGCAAACGATATATATCGCTTGCTAAAGTAATGTGCAAGGCATTCCAGAAATCCGAGATTAAAAAGTACAACGGGTTAAAGTTCGCGGAAAACTAAGTAATGCAAGCGGTGTTTCTAGGATAGCAGATTTTTTTTAGATGGCTTTTCAAGATTTAGTCTACCGCAGCATGTTTAAGTAATCGTCTTTACGTACACATTTACTAAAAATACTGTAAAAATTAAACACATTAAGATTCCGCCTCGAATGTAAGGGAAAAATCGATTTGAAACTAGGCAAGGAGTTACGATTGAAGGTAGAAAATGGCATTACTTAGTTTTCCACCCACTTTTCCCACCGTGGAGTTTTTAATCTTGAATTACGCTTTGCGCATTACGTAGATTAGGCTTACCGTTAGACTTTATTCGTCAACCGGTTATCCGAACGTGCCTGCATTGCAACGCCTTCGAGGACCAACAAGCCACAGTTCTCCTCGGAGACTGAAATAGTTCTTTAAACGCGCAACTGCATTTTCAAATA